GAACGTTATATGGTCGTAAGTAAAAAGGATTGTTGTATTTGCGTACACTTTCTTCAGTTCTTCCATTCTATGCTGAATATTTTCATCTGATGTGGAGTCTTTTGTATGTCGGCGAAACATTTTTCGATATTCTTCTACTATGTCAGCCGAATTTTCTTAGACTCTTGGAAAGATTCCATATTCTCCTCATACACTTGTTGAGGGTCAAGATTTTTCGGCTGTTCCAAATCTTCATCTAGTTCTGTGAAGTTAGTTTCCAAAGGAGGGACTTGTTTGTTTCCTTCAGGCTCTTCTAGCTGTTGTTGCTGAACTATTTTCCATGTCTGGTTGTATCTGAACTTCTTCCTGTGGAGTTCTTGTACCTCATCTGCTGGCATTTCATATATTCCGAGACCGTTTTTAACAAGTTCCCTATTTAAGTCATCCGCATTCATAACCCTTTCTTCTTTCGTTCCGTCTCTATTTTACGCGTTTCATGAAGATAGTTGAATTATCATTTATCTCTGACACCAAATATCTCGGAGTAAATTCAGTCATGTCATTTGGATGATATGCTATTAAATCATATCCCTTAGCGAGCTTGTATTTTCCAGGTTTGAAATTATATCCCATTTGGTGCTGAACCATAAAGCTAAATAGGTTCGGGTCAGTATTTCCTTCCTTGAACTTTCTAATAGCTTCTTTATATCTGTCACTAAAGTCAAGAGTATCTGGGTAACCATAATTTTCCTTAAGCATTTTTAAGAATTCTTGGTTTCCTTGTTCTCTACTTCTTTTATGTCCTTGCTCTGTTTGTGGTTGTTGCTGTGCAGTGTTTTGAACTGTTGGTTGTGGTGCAGTGTTTTGAACTGTTGGTTGTTGTGTTGGTTTTGGTGCATGCCTGTGTCTGTGTCCATGTGACGATGTAAATGTTTTAGGTAGTCCTGGTGCAGGTGCTTCTCTTGGAGGGTTTGGTGGTATATAAGTTCCACTAGCTAGTATATAAGTTCCACCAGCTGGTATATAAGTTCCACCAGCTGGCACATATGTTCCATCTGCAGCATAATGTCCTACCTGACTTTTCGTTTTTAAGAAAGCATTTACTAGGTCTGTTTTGGTCTGTTGTAACTCTTTTTCTTGACTTTCCACAACAGTTGCTCTAACGGCGTCATAGGCACTTTGAACCGCCTGTCTCGTTGCTGCATCTGTTATTTTCGTCATATTTTGTGCTACTTCTCTTAACTCGTTGTCGAAACCTTCAGACTTCAGTTTCTTTCCAGATGAGAAGTCGTTCACTAGTTTCACCTTACTATGAAGAGCTTCGAAGGCGTTCTTAAAGTCAGCATTCATTAAAGCTTCATTTGAACTGTCTTCATCCGCTTGTATTTTTGTCCTTATTGACCCTATAAGTTGGGCTGCTTTAGCGTTGGCTTGGGCATCTAACCAGTCATTATTAGCTTTTATATATGCGCTTTTCATTGCCTTTTGCATGGCTGCGTCGTTATTTTTACTTTCTTGTGCTAAGTTTTCATACTGTACGGTTTGGTTTTGCAACTGTAAAAGTTTTTCTGCCTTTACATTTGCTTCAACTTCTTTTTTATACTCATCGCTATCCATATATGTCTTCAGGGCTTTTTGTTTATTTCTTCATCTTTCAGTACTTTATATTGAGTAGTATGGTTTTTCAAATTTATAACATCTTGTTCCATTTTTGCTACTTCTGCTGCTTTTTCTGACACTTTTTTCGCATATTCCTCTGTACTTAGTTCTTTCAGTTGTTCTTCTTTCTTCTTTTTCTCTATGTTTAACTCATTGAGTTTCTTTGTGTGTCTGTCATATTCTAGTTTCTTTTCGTTTTCACTTATTTGTTTCTGTATGTCTATGTTTGACTTTTTGACATCTGTTATTTGATTTTTGAGTGAACTCAAATTCATTTGACTTTGAGGGTTATAAGCTGTTCCGTCTGCAGCTCCACCATAGCCTGCCATTTTCGCTAAAAAGTGCCGCTCTTAAACCTCCACTCTGTGCACCAATAACTCGGTTTAAAAGCATAGGGTTGCTTGACATTTGTTGCAACATAGTGGGGTCATTCATAATTTGTTGTTGCAACTGTTGTTGTGGTGTCAGTTTTACTATTGGATGTTTCAATGCTCTCTTCCTCTTACGTATATTCTTACGTAGCTTACGTGGCATTTTAAGTGAAGTAAAAAACGGTTTTTGACAGATGTTTATATGACACTTTTTGTTCAGCACAAAAAACTACTCGGTCAAAGTGTTGTCAGTTTTGTAAAATAACGGTCCTATCTTGTTTTAAAATGGAGAAAAGGCTTCTCAAAGTATACTTCCTTGGAACGCCCGTAACTTTTCCTGTAGCGACGATAGACCCTTACTTGTCCGGACAAAGTTATACTAAACATCTTCAGGGCTAGAGGGCACGAAGTGCCTGGAGGCCCCACTACCTTTTTTTTTTTTAATATTGTGTCGCTATCATATAAATATACTATTTCTAAATTAAAAATAAAAAAAGTACTATTTAATGATGAAATTGCAAATAATATCAATATATATATTCATGCTGATATATTTTGGGAACAGATTGGCAATCACATAAATAGGATTGTGTTAGTTTGTCATGGATATAAAACAAATTTTCGAGCTAATTGAGCGAATTTAAATCACAAACACTTATATTTTCTATTACAAGGTATATTTGTAATATACAACCAGTAAATAGCTTTCTCTAACTTTTACCAGCTTAGATGATAGCAAATTAGATACGAATTTCATGACCCCTCACCAAATTCCACTAAAACATATACAAATAAAAGTACTAAGTGGGTATCATCTAACCCTAGAATTATAGCTCCTAGGACTCATCCTAGATGGTAGTTCTGGAAAAACACCTGGTTTTTGGAGTTGCAAAAGTTAAAAAAATCGAAGTCATTTTTGAAAAAAATAAATGAGATATTAATTTTTGTAATATATTCCATTGAGCTGTACATGATACATGCCCCTATGTTTAATGGCAAACGAAATTCAGTACTTTATGAAAGCACGTTAAAGAAAAATCATTTAAATATTTTATAAAAATTTGATCAAAATAATATGTTATATATATAAAAATTACCAAAATCTCACTTTTTGAGTTAGCCGTTAAAATTTCAAATGACAAAAAGTGTCTTGATTAATTCACAAAATTTGAACTTTATCTAAATAATGTTGTTATCACATATTTTCAAAAATGTTCTGACAAAATTTAATTGAATGCCAACCGCCTAATCAGCTCATATCGTACGTCTTATTTAAACACAGCCCAATCCAGACGTTTACCGATGCGATGATAAAGGACACATCGTCATCCCGAGGAAGAAGCCACGCTTGCACAATGAGATGATAACTTCATTTCATAAGTGCCAAGAAGTCCGTCAGGAGTACCCCACCCCGCTGATACAAAAGGATGCAGTCGCGGAGGTGTCCCCCAATTCAATCACAATTTTCGACAACTTAGGAGATTTTATAGATAACGAGTTCTTTAGTTCATTTGAACCGTTCTACTGTGATCTCTGATTCGGTTTATCATTGATTATTACCTTTTTAACCCTTTTAATACTATTTAGTATTTTTTATTGGTTTAGTGTTATCCATCTGAAAAAACACTATTTCCGGTTATATTAAACTCTCAATTCAATAACTTTTTCTTTTTTTTTATTCTCAATCTTAGAATTTCTGACCTGTTACATGTAAATATTTCAGATTCATATTCAATTTGCACGATTATTAACAAATATACAATTTCGTTATTGTCTAGCAATTGAATTGCTGATTTAATTTTTGTTCTCTTGGAGATTTCTTATTCATTTTTTTGCATATATCATTAATTTTCTCGAGTCATTAATGCCAAAGCCATTTATAGTAATACAATGATGTTACCATAGGGAATTGCTATGATAAATCTATTTCATTTCTTGTGATATTTTTCAACCATTCATCCTGCATATCTTTGAACGAGAAATATCATATTTTCAATACAATGGACCTATTTATACAATCCAATCACAAGTCTTCAATAGGGTCTAAAAATAATCGTCATGTGGCGGTTTTGGTCCTCCTTTTCGAAAAATGGGTATCACTCGTATGGGAGACCTTAAGCACACAAAGTCCGGCGCTCGCCAAGTCGCCTGGCGTAAGAAACGTAACTTCCTTGCTGGCCGTCCATCCGCCCAGACACGTATCGGTGAGAAGAGAATCCACGCCGTCCGCGTACGTGGTGGCAACCTCAAGATGCGTGCCCTCCGTCTCGAAACAGGCACATTCGCTTGGGCTTCTGAGAACTGCACACGTAAGACACGTATCCTTAACGTTACATATCACCCAGCTGACAACGATCTTGTCCGCACAAACACACTTGCTCGTGGCTCTGTCGTTTCCATCGATGCTGCCCCATTCAAGCAGTGGTACGAACGCCAATTCGGCAAGGCCCTCGGCAAGTCCCAATATGTCAAGCCAGAGAAGGTCACAGACAAGATGACACAGCGCTGGGCTGCTAACAAGGATGGTGGTGTTGTTGCCCCAGAACTTGTCGCTGAATTCGACCAGGGTCGTCTTCTTGCTGTCATCACATCCCGCCCAGGTCAGTGCGGCCGTGCTGATGGCTACATCCTTGAAGGTGAAGAACTCGCTTTCTACTCCGACAAGATCGCTAAGAAGAAATAAATAAAAGAGAATTAAGGATTATTCCTTATTTATTGACTTACAAATACCAAAAAAATTCTTTTTCATCTCATATTATTCGGTAATACTTTTCTACAATTCATAACGAAGTGGATTTCAGATTTCAAAATTATTCTATTCTCTTTTTTCAATTTCATAATAAAATCTTGCATTTTGCCAGCATTGTTTAATAAATTCGCAGCATGTGTTTCGATGAATCAAGAAAATATATCCGATAAATATAAATTTACTCCGAAATGAAGGATAAGAATATGTGTAACATATATAATAAAATCCAAAACAAATACCGTTTAGTATGGGTTCGATGGATAAAGCTTTTCTACCAATGCCATATTTGGCGCTGGAGGTATTGGTGGAGACTCTTGTTCAACATTATCGTCAAGAAAATGCTTTGTATCATTAATCATGTTTTTCATTTGTTCAGTTTTTTCACTGAAAATACTTTTTTCTACTGGTAAATCAAGTACTGAACATATCGCAGTGTATAATAAATCTAAGATATCCTGTCTGCAAGCAACAGCGATACAATCCTTTTGAAAATGCAAAGCTAAATACTTAGTCTTTGTATCATCATTTGCAGTTTCTTCTTTAATTTCGGTAATTCCTTGATATATCTGGTCACCCTGTATTTCAATGTTCTTACTATTTTCAGGAGATATCCTGATTTTAGTCTGGATTGCGTTTTTCCATTTATTTGTTTTTGTTCCATCCTTTAAGAATGCAACTTCATTCCAAGACATTGCTTGGGATATAATATAACGCTTGGCATAAAACTGTGGATCTTGGAACGAATCAAAACCCTTTTTCATATTTTGTAATTTTTTTTGTAAAAAAATTGACAAATAAAGTGAATTATTAATAAAAAAGTGACAAAAATGGAGACTGAATTACAAAAACAACTGGAAGAGCTCCGAAGCCGCCATCAGGAAATGATTGATCGGAGAATGGCGGAACTCGAAGCTATTAAAGAACTATCAGTTCAGGCCGAATTTTCAAATTCAAATATTCCAATAAGTCCTGTTAAGCAAACAAAGAAAGTTCTTTTATCCATGACTTCTCCAAGCGAAACTGTAGAATTTGCTCCTAAGGATTCTGCACAAATTAAAAAGGTTGCGATTTCTACACAAATTGAAAATCAAATTCCTATTAATGATGACCAGCAGAAACCTCAATCATATTACGATCAAACTACTGTACTGGAACTAGACCAAAACTCAGTTTCTTTTGAAAATATTAATAACACAGATTCAGAAGTAAACGAAACTATCAATATTGAAACATCAAACACATCAGAATTTCGCAAAATATGGAGCGAGCCGGCAGTTGTTCGCTATGTTGCTTCAGATTGTTGTTGGAAAGGTCATGAATTTTACGTATCTTATAAGACAAATCTAAAAGACAAGCTCGGTTTTATTCTCAAGCGCGACATCAACAATATTTCGCAGTCAGTTCGTTACGATTGCCCAACACAACCAACATGCATCGCAATGGTCCCACATTCATCAGATTGCTTTGTTGTTGGTGGAAATACAGGACTTATTTACCTATACGATACTCGCGAGAAGCAAAATCCAATTGCTCAAAGCCAAAGATGGAATAAATGCCATTGTTCACAGATTGTTGGACTTATTTTTGTTAAAGATCGTAATTTACTATCAGTTGCCGCCGATGGAAGTGTTTACATGTGGGATATTGATGCCTTGGCCTCTCCATTAGATACAGATTTACATATGTCGAGATACAAGCTTCAAGGTGCTAGACCAACCTGCGTAACATATACAGATATAGGTAATATCCTAATCGGATCCGAGGATGGCTCAGTTATCTCCAAAGGAAAGACGAAAAATGAAGAAACAAAAATTCAGCAATATGATGGAATGATTACTTCCATCGATTTTAGACCAGGATCGAAAGGCCAGAGGAGCGCATATTGCATAACAACACTTGACGGTGTCGTTGAAGTCCGTTCTGATAGCAAATCCCTTAAAAAGATTGTTTCATTGACGGAATCATACGTTTCATGCTGTTGGCAGCCTAATCCAAGGCTTTGTTTTGCTGCATGCAGGTCAGATGGGTTCGTTACTCTCGTAGATGTCCTTGAAGACTCAAATGCAGAACTAAATGTGAATTTAGATTCTATTGCCACATGTTGTAAATTCTCGAACGATGGAAAATATTTGTTTGTTGGTACAATTGATTCCAATTCACATATCCTTTCTTGTCCTATTACTGTTTCTGTTTGATTTTATTTTTATTTTTATTATTTATCTATAAACTATTTATTATTCTATTCTTACATATATAATCATTTCATCAAAGTACTTTGTCATTTTTCACCAAAGTTACATTGAATTTAGGTACTATTAGTTAGAAACATAGGATATAAGTAAACTTATTTTCCTATGTAATGTCACCCCATCGTTTTTCTTCCTCATTATTGAGATAAGCTTTATCAAAATTTTGAATAAGAGATTTTAAATTGTAAGTACATTCTATTTTATTTAAAAAAATATTATGGATTTCTATCGTCTTTAAAGCACCCTTAAAAATGGCGTTTATATTGAAATGGGTTAGAGGAATGATATATAAGGACGACAAAGATAATACCAAAGAAGCAACAGTAGTTAACATACCAAATGAAAAAGATATTTTACTCGAAGAAGCTTTTCATGACTCAATGAAAAAACTATTAAACATCTCACAATTGGAAGGAGATGATTATTTTGATAAATTGAAAAAGATTACATCATTAAATGAATCCGAAATTGATCCATCGGCATTCATTTCTTCTGGTGTTGTTCAAGTATTAGTTGAATATTTGTTCAAAAATGAACTTAAAGTTCGTTCTAAAGTTTTATCAATATTATCAGATCTATGTGTGTACAAAGAAATAGCACAAGTTCTCGGCCAACCAGAAATTGCTGAATGTTTAATTGAAATTGCTACAAACAAAGAAAGACCAAATAAAGATGCCTATAATACAATTTATATTTTACAACATATAATATCTTACATAACTGATGATGATATTGTAGATTCATTTCCAGTTGAAGAATTTTGTAATTTTCCTCGTCCATCGATTGCAACTACATATTTCGCGAATTTATTGGCATCACATCCAAATTCTAAGAATTATGATAGGATACTACTATATATTAACAAGTATTCAATTTTCGATCCAATCGTAGTGCATAATATACATGATTTCTTGAAAGTTATCATACCAATATATCCTGAACGAATATATTCTTTAGTCGATCCTTGCACAGGTAAATTCCCAGTAAGTTTTCTACAAGATTATCTTAATTCTATACCATACTTTGATTATGAAGGATATTCCAACTTATTTACCATTCTTCATGAACCATTGGTCCAGCAATTCAATGATCGCCCAGAAATATTCCGACTTCTTATAAAAACAAAACAAATTGAAAATGCATATGACATATTCTTTGACGAAGAAAGTGAAGAAGATTACAGACGCAATTCTATCAGATTTATTGAAGACTGTCTCATCAACAACTGTTTACGTGGCCATGCGCTGGAATTCATTAATTATGATATTTTCGATAAATTTATTGACAGTATTGAAAACTCCTCTAGTAATATCAAATCATCCTTGTTCAATATAATATTATATTGCCTTGATTATCATGGCTTTGACTCATTTGTTGAAGCCGTTCACAGAGGAATTCTTAAATTTATTGATGATATAATCGGAACCAATACGAAACTAGCAGTAACATTCATTGAAAACATTTTGAAAAATTATACTGACTATAATCGCGAAGAACAAATCAGAGAACACATCGACAATACAAAAATTATCAATGATTTGGAAGATGCATATCAACAATCTAATAATGAAGAAGAGTCAAAAATTATAGATGAATTCTTAAATAAATATAAACAATCTAGTTGTTCTTCGAATGACTCGCCTCCTTCCAACAATTTCGACTTGCATTGTGTGCATTACGTAAATGATTTAGTCTCTTTTTAATTCTTATACTCACATGAAATCTTATGAATTAAACTTATTTTTTTTTAACTTTCATCATTTTTACTTTTTATATTTAGGAAATTTGTTTTAAGATTTTGTATTTTGACAATATGGTCATCGTAAATTACATTTCTAAGCATAGGGGGAGGCAGATTTTATGATTTTCAGATTCTAGATGGCAATTTCAAGTTTTTGAAAACAAATTTCGTTTCCGTTGTAATTATCAACAATCTAAAAATGCCGTTCAAACGATGCAATTATAAAATCCGAAATCATCAAGAATTAAATTGCGTCATGTAAAGAACGAAGAAAAAAAAAGTTTATAAAATTTTACAAATTTTATGCTTTATAGAACCGCAAAAGGACCTCAGTTCTCTCAGTCCAAATCGGCACTTCAGATAAGGGGTTCCCTGAATACTTCTTCGATACGCAATAGTTCTATGCGCATTTTTCCACAGTTAAAATCTCCAACAAAATCACCTAAACAAAGCTTAAAACCACTTGTTGAAAGTAAATATGAACTTGATGATGTTGACTTTTCTGAAATAAACATTGATATTGCGCCACCACTCACACAAAATGCAAATCTTGACTTAATTGATATGAACAACTTAATAGAATCAGTTCAAGAACCATTTGAATACAAACTGTACTGTCATGCTCCGGAGAGTACTGGAGTTACTTCAGAAAAAACTTTTTTAATTTCAAAACTTTATGAACAAGTACTTAAAAATCCATTAATTTCAACATCGGACGATGTACTGACCAAAATATTTGCGATTGCTGACCAAAACATTCGATATAAACTATCGAGCGTTAATGAATTTTTATTTATCTCAGATTACCCAGTTTACTTCATGTTAACAGGTATTGAATACATCAGAATCTGGTATGCGATCATTGAGACATACCTTCAGAAGTTTTCATTCACTTTCAACGAAAATTACTGGAAATACCTTATTGAGAGATTTAAATCACCAGTAAAGGACGAACAGAACTTAGCGAGAGACACACTACTTCTTTTCTTCAAAAAATTTCAAGATCAACGCGATTTCATCATTGATGAAATAAATCACATTTTTAAAAGCTACAAAGAGAAAGTTCTTCAACATTTCGTTGTTCAACCTGCTCTACAGTTCCTTGTTACCATTCTGAGTCAATTAAATCAAATTCCTTCGATCTTTTTTGCTCAATCTCGTGTAATCGTTTTTCCTCTTTTTATTACCCCCAGAGTTGAAGAATTCTTCGATGTACTTTCGAAATACAGTGATCTCTTCACGAAAAAAGACTCTACGACCACGTTATTTTATATCAGATACTTATTGAAGCATTGGCCGATCACAGATTCCCACAAACATATTATTTTCCTCAACGAACTCCATGTCATCCTGTTCTCATTGAATCCGACCTTTTTCCCAACAATATGCGTTCCAGTTTGTTCAAAACTGTTCCTGTCCGTCCAATCGTCCAACGCTAAGGTTTGTACGACCGCATTTAGCATTTTAGGTGACGAAGGATTCCTCTCCATGCTAATAAAAACGGTCGGATTTATTCCTACAGATTTAGAACGTTCTATTTCAACAGCGAGTTCATCATGGTCCGAGGAAGTTAAAAAGGCTGCTCAGAGTGCTCATGATATTCTATTAACTATTAAATCCAAGGCAGAACAACCTCAACAATCAGATTTTGTCCAAAAATGGAAGAAAGTTGCAAGATTTGCTAACAAGAATTACCATAATGAATTTTCTGATTTCGATAATGTAATGTCTCATTATTCTTTCGATTTTTCACTTTAATTTTTATTTATTTGTTATTTTTATATTAAAACTTATGTTTGTATCTTATCACGGCATATGAATTTCAAAAGTGGCATTGCGATTGGCAAACCCAAATTTTAGCTAAAAGTGACAGGGGAAAAAAACGTTTAGTATTAAAAAAAAGACCGATGAGAGCTTCGTTCGAAATATAGAGGGAACTGAGAATGCGCAACCATTCTCAGGGAATATTGGATGCTATTCCCGTTCCCTCTGTATGGAAAATTGAGGTTTTCAAAGGGAATTAAAATAATATCAAATTTATACTAATTTACTTCAAAATACAAAAGTATTTGACAGCTAAAATTAGTTACTTTAGCAAGCCTATCAATACCCTTTTACGATTATTGCTACTTTTTCGAAATAAAAGTAAAAACAAATTTATACTAATTTACTTCAAAATACAAAAGTATTTGACAGCTAAAATTAGTTACTTTAGCAAGCCTATCAATACCCTTTTACGATTATTGCTACTTTTTCGAAATAAAATAAATTTATTATCAAAAACCTTTTTTTTCTTAGTAAAAATAAACGAAATTTTTTACCTTATGAACTTTTGATGGAAATATGCAAATTTAAAATAATAAAGAAAGCCGCGAGCGAAGCGATCGGCTTAGTTCGAAGATTTTGATTCAAATCTTTGCTGATCTGTAATTCGCGGAAGCCGCGAGCGAATCGAGCGGCTTAGGTCTAAGATTTTGATTCAAATCTTTGCTTATATTCCTTAAATTCTTTATGAAACTCGCAACAGTTCCATAAAAAATTTTAAATTCTAAACTGTCGAAATTACCGATTGGTAATCACACCCTTCACGGGTGTGTCGCCTTTTTACAGGCGTGTCACTTTTAGCTAAAATTACCCCTACTCTGATTATTATTTGATTTTCTGATTTTTACTACAAATAACCTAAAAATGATTCAAGGTTAATTCTACATCAATAATATCCCCCGTTTGTTGATAAAAAAATCTGCTAGCTAAAAAAAACGGTTAATTTCACTCAAAAAATGGCAACTCTGGTAGTTTTGGGTACCACCCCCATCTAAAATGAGCATTTTTTTGACACTCGAGGTTGATTCCAGACTTCAATATGAGCAATTGATTCATATATGTGATCCCTTGAATCAATGCTGTATGAAATAATTACATACGTAATGGATTCTTCATTTGGGTATTGGATATTAATCTGTGAACTGGCACTTATGATTAAAAATATAAATTATTACCATTGAATGGAATTTCAGATGCTAATTCATTGTACAGTACAAGAACAAGATATATAATATCCATTCAAGATCAACACAATGACTAATCTTCTAATGTTTACCAATTTAATCGATTATTTTGACATCGTTTGCCAAACAACATTTGAATCAAAAAATAATCGTTCATCATAGATGCTATTTCGTTTTACTGTTGCAAATATCAAAAAATAATTTTTGTGATATGATGGAAATTTTTTCCAAAATTCAATACCGATTTTTTTTTCCAAAATTATAAATTTTAATGTGGGGAGGTTGGGGCTCAGGTCAAAGTCTAACCAGGATGATATCTGGGACTGTACCGACATTAGCACGCCGTCCAAATTCACTTTCTTATCAAGGTTTCGTAGGTCGTGCAAATAATGCTGCAAATCGCGACCCAATCAATAAAATTCTATCATCTTTAGATTACAATTCAATTTTATCATTATATGATTCATCTGGTCCGACTTCAAGCTTAAGAAATAGGCCAAGTATGAATACTTTTGGAATGGGACGAGGTGATAGAGAAATCTCATCTAATTTTACATTTTATCCACCCGAAGACATATTAAGCACCGAATTACCATCAAGTTTAGAATTTATTAACGAAATCCAACAAATCTTTCTTAATTACGATAGAAACAACTCAGAACAGACTCACAAACTCGTTGAATTCATCGAAACATGCATTTACACAGGTTTAAGAGAATTTGCAACAAATATCTTCATTAGACCACAAAAAGTCAAAGATTATGTATACTTATACTCTCAGCTATCCAAGAATGTTAAGATTATCGCACGCCATTACTTCTGTTGCACTCCAGTTTTTTCACAATTTCTTATCTCGGAAGGAGTCCTTCCCGACTTCGAAGCGAGGCAGCTATCAGCAAATCTACCTAATGCGATGTCTCAAAGCTACTTAAACGTGTTTTCTGAGCTAATAAACGGGGCAAATTGCCAAGAGCTCAAACGGATCGAAAAAGAGATCATTGAAACATTCATTGATGATGATCCAGACAGATTGATCGAAATTACGTCAAAATCTGACTTCAAATTAGATACAGAGATGCTTGATGGAAAAAGAGCAGTTACATTGATACATTTGGCCGCAATGTACGGCGCTGTTAATTGTTTTAAGTATTTGTTGATGAATAATCCAAAATTAGAAGAAATTGCAAATTTTGCCGTTGTTGGTGGAAATAAAGAGATTATAAGAATACTCATGCAATCAGGAGTCAAGTTCGATCAGTCTGCAATCACAGCTTTGTATTTCCGAAGAGATGAATTATTTGATTGGATAAAATCCGAATTTTCTGAAGAAACTCAAGATGATCCGAATAATATCGCATATGCAATAACAGATACATTGTCAATAAGAGCTATTTACGCTTTAACTTTGACAAACGAACTTATTATTTCGAATGACTGGTTATCTGCGTTCGTTTTAGATAGAATGGTCGATTGGTGCAGGGAATTATCAAAGAACTGCATGTTTTTGAACTCTTTGTTCTTTACTTTGACAGATGAAGAAATTCTTAACAATTTACTTGAGAAAACAACTAATTCTTACTTCGGAATGTTGTTTGCTGAAGCTGTTAAGACAGGTTACGCATTCCATCTCCGAGTTTTAGTTCATCATCTGAATTTTGACTTTTTTGAAATGGAAAAGGGCATGTTGAACTCAATAAAGAAGAAATTCCCAGACATTCATGATGAAATACAAGCTATAACTCATGCTGTTGTCTCTCCAGAGAAAGCTTATCTTATTTTCACTCATGGACTGCCAATTAGTGAAGATATGGCCTTCGAAGTAATGAAGTATTGCATAAAGGTTAACGACGCGTTCTCTTTTATGTCTCTTGCTGACAAATTTCAAAATATTAATTTATCAATTGAACAATTGATCGAATTACTCCAACTTTCATCTATTACATGGCTATATGTTGCATCAGAAGTCTCCACAAGGCAGCTCGATCCATCCGTTTACGTTCTTTTAGTCAGATATTACTATTCTTCTATTGATAATAGTCTTCTTCCACCGAAAATCGCCGACATCATTCTCAAAAGTCCAGAGTTGATGGAAAAACTCACTCCTTATGACTGTATCAACTTGTTTATGATGGTTCGAGAGGAAATTCAGGACTTTTCTCCACTGATTTCGCTTTTTAAGAAGTTTAAGTTCATCACTGAAGACAATCCTATTACAAATGGCCAGCCAATCAGCGATATAAGGACAATTATTCTAAATTCTCCAAGAATTAACGAATTGATCCAAGAAGACATCGAAGGATTCGTTAATGTCATACCATCCAACCCAGTATTCCTCAAGAAAGTCGTTGGAATCGAAGTTTCAAAAGAATTTTTCGATAAAGTTCTTTTCATTTTCATTAAGTTCTTCGGAATAACCACAGCAGATTCCCTATATTGTAAGATGAAATTCTACGAGGAAAGCCAAGCTCCGCCAGAAACGCAAAAAATCCAAAAATTATACTTCAATTTCCTCACAAATCCAGTTAACAAGAAGCATATTAACATCAAGGAACTCTGTAAGTCAAGACTCAACGCTTCTTTCATCAAATTACTGGAATATTCCGATGAAGAATTTCAATATCTCAAAAATGTTGATTTCATGAAGGGCCAGTTGATGCACAATCCAAAGAATGCAAGATTCTTTACCATTCCACAGATATTAAAGAATCCAAATCCTCATGAAATCGTAAATGCTTTATTAAGTATTCCTTTGACTCCAGAACAGATTCCTTTGATCGAGAACTCGAACTTTATGAACATTTCGGAACGAGTTTTCGCCAAACGTACATCAGCAAAAATGAAAAATTTATATCGAAAAGTTTTCATAAGAGATGAGATCTGTAATGGCTTCACAACACGTACACTCCTTACTCACCTCTTGGCAACAAGCGTTTTCGATGAAATTTACTGCAAAATGCTGAATTCCCTTCTTTCTAGGAATTTAACGGCCAAAGAGAAAGCAGATATCTTTATCAGCATCCCAACAGAAAAGAAAGCTATCGATTACGTACTTTCTCGAAGAGATACGATCAATAATTCCTGTTTAATCATATATTCCATAAGAATAGGAAGTCAGCTTGTAGAGAAAGGTACTCCTATCGAAGATTCTTACTTCATCCAGATGTTCTGTACACGAGAGAAGATTAATTATGAAAATTTGTTCGAATACAAAGTTTCTAGATCGGCTATTGCCAATGCATTGATGAGAGCGATCGAAAGCAAGAACATCGATGCCATGAACTTCTTGATATCCAAAGGAACACCAGTTAATATTATCATTCACTCAGTCACTCCTCTTCAAACAGCTATTGGTAGCCAATTTGTCGAAGGTGTAAAGGTTCTTCTGAGTCGTGGTGCTTCCATTGGCTTCAACGGACTTCGAACATCTGCTAAAGCAGCAGAATCTTCTCAAAATTTGGAGATTGTGAAGCTTATTTGCAGCAGAGCCGATGTCCAATACGAATCGCACTTCGAAAGCATCAGATCCATCCATATACCTGTCTCACAAAAGTCTGTAGAAGTCAATCAAGATATGGATATCTTCAAACTTGTCAATTTTCCACCAAAAAGTGACTTTGACGATATAAAAAGTGACAGTCTACGAATTGACAACATCTTTGACTTCACAGTTGGCATTGATTTCCGGGAAGTTCTTACAGGACACAAAAATATTTCAGAAATCAAGAATTTTGTTGAAGGATCATTGAAAATCTGCAAAACATATGATTTGGCATTTAAGATCATTACTATGTTCACTCCTTATGATCTTCGAACACTTGAGCCATTCCTTCCTTTCCATATTAATCGAATCAACAAAATTCCACCTGAAATTAAAAACGAAATTTGGGGAATCATCGAAAATTTCATTTCTAAGAGCTCACCAACATTCAAAGCTGTTTATTCTGTCATCACAGGCAAAGATCTCATTGAACCAATTCCAAACCTTTCTTCTTTACTCTTCATTGCAACAAGAATTGGAAATTTGTCAATTCTTCAGTCACTTTTTGACAAAGGAGCAGATATTAATAGTGTTGAAGGATATTATCAACTCTTTTCACCAGCATTGGAAGCAATTGGTAAAGACAGATCAGATATCCTTGAATTGTTCATTGCAAACAAATTAAATGTTGATCAAATATATTCAACAGATAATTTCACATTGATCAATGCATCAATTGAATATAATTCAGTGAAATGCTTTGATCTTTTGATCGACAAAGTTTGTCTTCAACATGTTGTTGTTCAAACACCGATGATGGCTGCGTTGAAATTATTCGAACAAACGATGAATGATTATTTCATCAACAAACTTCTTGATAAAATTGATATCGAACATGAACTCATTGTTGATGAATCATTCGAATACTTTTTGGAGTTTCGTTCAGGAAAAATCACTGAATTTCAATATTTGGGTGAAGAAAGACCTGCATTCACAATCAACCAAAATGTAAACAATCCATTTGGTGGTCGGTTCCGAAATCTTGTCAATCAGAATGACCAACGAATTGAAGAAGACATCAACAACTCAGACATTGTTCAGAAGAAGCTTGCATACGATCTGTTCTCTCGTTCGCATTTCAAAGGTTTCGACACAGGAAAACAGCGCTATATTGAAGATATCACACCAGAAGAAGAACTTATGAATGAATATAATAATACTTTGTAAAAAATTATTTTTATTTTTTATCTTTTTTATATTTTTTTCCCAGGAATTTTTTCAAAGTTCTAATCAAGAAATGAAAAAGCAAACTGCATTTCTAAGAGTTTTTAAATTCTTATCCGCAATCTGAATGCCTATTCAGGAATTTCAAGAATAAATAAAGATTTATTTGGATTCAATTTCAGAATGGACTTTTGAATGTCTACCATATTTAAATCGGAAAGTTTATTAACAAATTTAGCTTTCTCTTCATATCACATCATTTTCATAAAGAATTAATTCCTTAAGGGTGCCCTATAGACGATAGACCACCCTCAGAAAAGCACTTTTAAGGCTATTATATTGAGAACTAGAATCCGGATAATCCATTCATTCGAGTTCTAATAAGGTTAATTTTGTGATGTTTACATTATCGTTATAGGGCACCCTTAAGCTATGAAAATGTTCCTATTTCTATTTATGCTAAAATGATTCAATAAAATTGACCATTAAAAGTTCAAAGATATGAACCTCTTGAAGAATGTAAAAATTTATATTTGATACGCTATGCAATGAACCTTAAATTAGCAAATTTTTTAAAAATTTTTGAAAATAATATAAGATAATTGTTGAATGAAAATATTCATGATTAATTAAAAAAAAAAAAAAAAAAAAAAAAAAAAAAAAAAAAGGGAGTGGGGCTTCCAGGCACTTCGTGCCTTCTAGCCCTGAGGATGAATGAGTATAATGAAGTTTTTTTTTCTTGGGGGATGGCTTCCAGGCACTTCGTGCCTTCTAGCCCCCGAAGATGTTTAGTATAAATGAAGTTTTTATTCGGAGGGCTTCCAGGCGCGTTACGCCCTGAAGATGTTTAGTATAAATGAAGTTTTTATTCGGAAAATTGTTAGTCTTCTTGGTCGAAAACATTATATAATGTTTCACTTTTCACAAATTATATATGTTTTCATGTTTTGTCAAGACTTCTTCGTAAATGTTTTGTCAAGACTTCTTCGTAAATGTTTTGTCAAGACTTCTTCGTAAATGTTTTGTCAAGACTTCTTCGTAAATGTTTTGTCAAGACTTCTTCGTAAATGTTTTGTCAAGACTTCTTCGTAAAATCAGACAAAAATAATGTTTAGGGTAGAAGGTTAGATATAACCTCTTTTCTAACCTCTTTTCTACCCTCTTGAATTTGTCAAGATTTCTTCGTCATAGGCACGGAGATAGGACGGTTATTTTACAAAACTGACAACACTTTGACCGAGTAGTTTTTTGTGCTGAACAAAAGTGTCATATAAACATCTGTCAAAAGCCGCTTTTTAACTTCACTTAAAATGCCACGTAAGCTACGTAAGAATATACGTAAGAGGAAGAGAGCATTGAAACATCCAATAGTAAGACTAACACCACAACAACAGTTGCAACAACAAATGCTGAATGACCCCACTATGTTGCAACAAATGTCAAGCAATCCTATGCTTTTAAACCGAGTTGTTGGTGCACAGAGTGGAGGTTTAAGAGCGGCACTTTTAGCGAAAATGGCAGGCTATGGTGGAGCTGCAGACGGAACAGCCTATAACCCTCAAAGTCAAATGAATTTGAGTTCACTCAAAAATCAAATAACAGATGTCAAAAAGTCAAACATAGACATACAGAAGCAAATAGGTGAAAACGAAAAGAAACTAGAATATGACAGACACACAAAGAAACTCAATGAGTTAAACGTAGAGAAAAAAGAAAGAAGAACAACTGAAAGAACTAAGTACAGAGGAATATGCGAAAAAAGTGTCAGAAAAAGCAGCAGAAGTAGCAAAAATGGAACAAGATGTCATAAATTTGAAAAACCATACTACTCAATATAAAGTACTGAAAGATGAAGAGATAAAACAAAAAGCCCTGAAGACATATATGGATAGCGATGAGTATAAAAAAGAAGTTGAAGCAAATGTAAAGGCAGAAAAACTTTTACAGTTGCAAAACACAAACCGTACAGTATGAAACTTAGCACAAGAAAGTAAAAATAACGACGCAGCCATGCAAAAGGCAATGAAAAGCGCAGAATATATAAAAGCTAATAATGACTGGTTAGATGCCCAAGCCAACGCCAAAGCAGCCCAACTTATAGGGTCAATAAGGACAAAAATACAAGCGGATGAAGACAGTTCAAATGAAGCTTTAATGAATGCTGACTTTAAGAACGCCTTCGAAGCTCTTCATAGTAAGGTGAAACTAGTGAACGACTTCTCATCTGGAAAGAAACTGAAGTCTGAAGGTTTCGACAAAGAGTTAAGAGAAGTAGCACAAAATATGACGAAAATAACAGATGCAGCAACGAGACAGGCAGTTCAAAGTGCCTATGACGCCGTTAGAGCAACTGTTGTGGAAAGTCAAGAAAAAGAGTTACAACAGACCAAAACAGACCTAGTAAATGCTTTCTTAAAAACGAAAAGTCAGTAGGACATTACGCTGCAGATGGAACATATGTGCCAGCTGGTGGAACTTATATACCACCAAACCCTCCAAGAGAAGCACCTGCACCAGGACTACCTAGAAACATTACATCGTCACATGGACACAGACACAGGCATGCACCAAACCCAACACAACAACCAACAGTTCAAAATCCAGCACAACAGCCACCTCCACAACCAACAGTTCAAAACCCTGCACAACAACAACCACAAACAGAGCAAGGACATAAAAGAAGTAGAGAACAAGGAAACCAAGAATTCTTAAAAATGCTTAAAGAAGAGTGTGGTTTCCCAGATAGTATTGACTTTAGTGACAGATATAAAGAAGCTATTGGAAAGTTCAAGGATGGAAATACTGACCCGAACCTATTTAGTTTATGGCTCAGCACCAAACAGCGATATAATCTCAAACCTGGAAAAAAGCTCGCTAAGGGATATGATTTAATAGCATATCATCCAAATACATGGATGAATTTACTCCGAGATATTTGATGTCGAGAGCTAAATGACAATTCAACTTTCGTCATGAAACGCGTAAAAAATAGAGACGGAACGAAAGAACAAAAGCTTATGAATGCGGATGACGTAGATAGGGAAATTGTTGAAAACGGTCTCGGAATATATGAAATGCCAGCAGATGAGGTACAAGAAACTCCACAGGAAGAAGTTCAGATACAACCAGACATGGAAGAAATAGTTCAGCAACAACAGCTAGAAGAGCCTGAAGGAAACGAACAAGTCCTTCCTTTGGAAACTAACTTCACAGAACTAGATGAAGATTTGGAACAGCCGAAAAATCTTGACCCTCAACAAGAGTATGCGGAGAATATGGAATATTTCCAAAGAGTCTAAAAAAAATTCGG